CCTGAGGTGGTTTGACTCTGACGCTTCATCTTGACTGTGGGTCAAACTTAGTGATTTGCCTCCAAAGGATAGAGTAAGGGACATGAGACATTGCCTTCACAGTGCAGAAACCTGGCAAACACCACCGGAACAAAGTGACCGAGGCTAATGTCACCAGGGCTAAGTCATGCTGGCAGCATGTGCCACCTGACGGGGTGGATGAGAAAGGCATTTCACTTCCAAGGTATTTGTCCCAAATACCCTTCACCCCAGATGAACCATGAAAATGTCAGACAAACCCCAAGTGAGAGATATTACACAAAATATGTGACCAGTACTCCTCAAAACTGTCAAGGTTATGAAAAACAAAGATGAAAAACTGTCACATAAGCCAAAGACTAAGGAAATAGGATGATTAAATGCAATGTGGTAACTTCGACTAGATCCTAGAACAGGATAAGGACATTAGTGGGAAAACCAGTGAATCCAACTAAAGTCTGAACTTTACTTAACAGTGATATCCTAATATAGGTTTCTTGGTTATGACAAACATCCCACAGTAATACAAATTGTGACCTGGGGTGTGCCGGAACCTTCTGTACTATCTCTGCAACTTCTCTGTAAACCTAAAATTATCTCAAAATAAACATTTGTTTTCTTTCAGATGGGCAAGGAAAATGAATAGGCCAATCACTAAAGAAGTGTATATGGTCAAAAATCTATGGGAATGATATAACAGAAATATAAGTGATAACAGTAAATCATTTTTCACACCTTAGAGTGACAGTGGTTGTCAAAAGTGATAATACCTGATGTTTTTAAAATGGTACGGGAGAATAAGTAATTTGCCAATGGTATCTAATGTCTTTTCCAAGTATATACCTCAATTCATTTCCTAAAGAAATTAGCAAGTCCTCAATGTAATAACTAATAATTATTGAAAACTTCTAATGTTCCCGGCACTGCGAAAAATAGTACATATGCAGCAGATCATTTGATTTTGATGATAATTCTATGAGGTAGATATAATTGTTACCATCTAGATTTTAAGGATGAAAAACCTAAATTGTAATACTTAAAATACAACTGGCATGTTTATTATGGTAATGACCTCCACCAGTGAATCATGCCCCCCCCCCGTATCTACGCCCTAGCGTAATCCTCTCCTGCAGTGACTCTGGGTTTAACCACATCTGCGTGACCCATGGACACAGACAACAGTGTGGTGACAGCCAGAGGGAAGGCACAGGGGCTGTGTGGAGGTGGGCAAAGGGGGGAAATGGAGACATCTGGAATAGTGTCAATAATAAAAATAAAAATAAAAAACTTAATGTAATTGCAAAAAAAATAACTCCTAAGACTCAAGGTCAGTCAACAGTCAGCACTGTGCACCAGACAGGGGAGAGACGAACCGGTCAGCTTGCTCTAAGGTGCTTCACAAGACACCCGCTGTGGTGTCGGAAAAGCTTAGCAGGGACTTCTGCCAAGATGGAGGCATAGGTGGAAATATTGTGCCTTCTCGCACAACCAAGTTTAAAAGCAAAAAAGTTTTAGCAACAAAAACGCAGCCAAACCACAGGAAATTGAACTATATGGAAGTCTGACAACAACGAACCATTCAGCCAGACCGGTAAGAGGGACAGAGCCAGCAGCCAAGCGGGGTCAGGCAGGAAAAAGGCCCCCCCGACCCAGGTGTGCAGGCAGCTGAGGGCAGATCCCAGGTGTGGGGTTTCCAGGGGTAGACTCAGTGAGGGCACAAGGCGGCAGGCTGACCAGCGAAGGAGCGAACAGTGAGACAGATTGCGCAGGTCCCAGCAGTGGGAAGCAGCAGAGGGGACGACTATTGCTCCCTCTCTGACCCCACCCCCACAAACAAGGGACCTGGGTGGCTCTGCCCTGGTGAACACCTAAGGTGCCTCTCCTTATACCTTGTAACAGGCAGGAACAGATCAAAACATGGCTCAAGAACAACTCAGAGCCCCAGAGCCAATAAATCTAAGCCATGAAGAAATAGCCAAACTTTCAGATGCACTGTTCAAAACACTGGTGATCAGGATGCTCACAGAACTGGTTGATTTTAGTCACAAATTAGAGGAACATATGAAGGCTAAACCAATTGAAATGAAGGGAAATGCATAGGAAACCAATAGTAAGGAAACTGGGACTCAAATCAAGGGAGTGGACCAGAAGGAAGAAAAAAATGACCAAACAAAAATATGAAGAATCAAGAATTTAAAAAAATGAGGAGAGGCTTAGAAACCTCCGGGACATCTTTAAACATTCCAACATCCGAATTATAGGGGTACCAGAAGGGGAAGAGGAACAATCACGAGTGGAAAACTTATTTGAGCAAATAATAAAAGAGAACTTCCCCAATCTGGCAAAGGAAATAGACTTCCAGGAAATCCAGAAAGCTCAGAGAGTCCCAAAGAAGTTGGACCCAAGAAGGAACACACCAAGGCACATCATCATTACATTAGCCAAGATTAAAATGAAGGAGAGAATCCTAGAAGCAGCAAGAGATAAGGGGACAGTCACCTACAAATGACTTCCCATCAGACTGTCAGTGGATTTCTCAAAAGAGATCTTACAGGCAAGAAGGGGCTGGAAAGAGGTATTCCAAGTCATGAAAACCCAAGACCTGCAACCAAGATTGCTCTCTCCAGCAAAGCTTTCATTTAGAATGGAAGGGCAGATAAAGTGCTTCTCAGATAAGATCAAATTCAAGGAGTTCATCATCACCAAGCCCTTATTATATGAAATGTTAAAGGGAATTATCTAAGAAAAAGAAGACAAAAAAGATGAACAGTGAAAGGACAGCAAACTCACAGTTATTAAGAACCACACCTAAAACAAAAGCAAACTAAGAGGACAGCTAGATCGGGAGCAGAACCATAGAAATGAAGATCACATGGAGGGTTAGCAACAGGGGAGTGGGAGGAGGAGAAGGGGGGAGAAGGTACAGAGACTAAGTAGCATAGACGGTAGGTAGAAAATAGACAGGGGGAGGGCAAGAATAGTATGGGAAATATAGAATCTAAAGAACTTGAGACACGTGTTCATGAACTAAAGGGGGGAATGGTGAGGGAGGGGGTGTGCAGGGTGGAGGGAAATGAAGGGGGGAATAGGACAACTGTAATGGCATAATCAATAAAATATATTTTTAAAAAAAGCTTAGCAGTTCAAGACTGTTTTTAGAACCTAATAAACTTGTGGCCATGGATTGTGGACTAAAAGACCTTGGTGAACAGGTCACAGCAGTTATCTGACTTTTCAATCACACTAGTTACCAATGACTACAAGGGATAAAGGTTTCATTTTAAATCAAGTAAATGTTACATTTACTGCCTCCGGTCTCTATTATATACTATAATTCTTTTATTGTTGTTCAAGTACAGTTGTCTGCATTTTCCCCAACCTCTCCCCGCCACCCCAGCCATGCCCCACCTCCCTCCTCTGATTCCACGCCCGCTTGGTTTTGTCCATGTGTCCTTTACAGTTCATTGTTCCTGAAACCCTTCACCCTTACTTCCCCAAATAATAATAGAGCAGTGCTTGGTATGTGGTAATCATAAACACATATACCATTTAACATTCACCATGTCTAATGCTATTAATAAGATGTAGTTTATTTGAAAATGAACAGAAAACCAATGCAGGTATTGATTTGTACATTGTAGAGCTGTTTTATCAGTGACATAAGGTTTCACATGGCACAACTAGACACTTAGTCAGGAGCAATGTCTTTTCACTGTAAGAAATCTCCCACTCTAAGAGGGCAAGAAAAAAAGGAGAAGTTTGTGAGCAGGTGTAGCATCTTGAAAAATCAAAATCATGTATAGTTTCTAGTACTTTCCCCTAAAAAGGTCATGCCGTAACCAGGTTTGGAGATCCTGACCCCCGGAACTGAGGCTGGAGGTATTCAGGGAGAGTACTCAGATCTCCCCCGCCTCCCTCTGTGAACCGAGACTGTATGGTTTATGTCAGTAATCCTCAAACTTCAATGAGCTCGTACACTGACATCATGTTACAACGCAGATTCTGGTTCAGTAGGTCTAGGAAGGGGCCTGAGAGTCCACACATGTAAGAAGCTCATAGATGACACTGATACTGCTGGGCTTTCAGTCACAAGTAGTAAGGATTTTCACTATATGTTATATAGTTCAGTTGATTTATAAAGAGACATTTGCTTTTACTTGTTATAATGGCTGATTTTGTGTCAGTTTGACTGGACTAAGGAATGTCCAGATAGCTCATAAAACATTATTTCTGAATGTCTGTAGAGACTTTTCTAGAAGAGATTTTCATCTGAATCAACAGAGGAAAGAAGACCACCCTCATCACTACAGGTGGGCATCACCTGATTTCTCAGAGGCCTGAATAGAACAAAAGAGACGGGAAAAGGGCAAACTTGCACTCTCCGCTTAACCTAGGACATCCATCTTCTCCTGCCCCCGGGCATCAGCAGCCCTGGCTCTCAGGTTTTCAGACTCAGGTGGGCCTACACCATCAGTCTCCCGATCTGAGGGCCTTTGGGCCTGGGGTGGATTACCCCAGCACCTTCCCTGGTTCTCCAGCCTGCAGACAGCAGGTCACGAGACCGCTCAGCCCCTGTAACCACGTGAGACAATTTCTGTAATAATTTCCTTTGGGGTTTTTGCTGTGCATTATGGTAACTTATAGTTATCACATGGCTTTTTAAACTCTTTAAATTAAATAAAAATTTAATTTTAATTCCTCAGCTACATTAGCTGTACTTTAAAGGCTCAATAGCCTCGTGAGGCATATTAGACAGCATAGGAGAAGATTTCCATTATCATAGAAAGTTCCATTGATCAGTGCCAAACTGAAGACTGTTCTGTTACCAAATGAAAATGAGAAGAATATAAGGTTTACTCTAAAACAAATCAAAACATAAAATCGAGACCTGTCACCTGTAAAATTCCAGTCATTTTTGCTCAGAAAAACAACAAACATAGGTCAAGACAACATGATACCACCAAGAAAGGAAGCTGACATACCTTCTTCTCAGGGACGTGCCGTGCAGCCCAGCCTGGAGTGCGAGGTGGCAGGCGTGGGCTGAGAGACAGAGACCGGGAGCGCTGAATGGCTGAGGCTAAATCCAGTGGGCCCCGCGCTCTTCGTGCTTCACTGTACCGCCGTGTTCACTACCCTTTATCCCATCAGTCGGTCTCCTGGCCTGATGGGGAAACTAATACAAGTGAGAAAGAAGTTTAGCTGATGGTGTGGAGTGCACTTTTATGTTCTATCTGGAATACTCAACTCTGACTATTCAATACAAGTAACAACAAACAAACAAACAAAAAGAGTATTTATTAGTTAGGAAGTTAGGTTCTCCAGAGAAAACAGAGCTAGTAGGATAGGTAGATAGATAGATATAATTTCAGTGATATATATGTAAGATGAAGGGGGACCACAAAAAAAACGGAATTTATTAAAAAATCATATATTTATTCTTATATGTTTAAACTTTAGTCACCTTCAGAGTACTCTCCATTTGATGCAATACACTTACTGAGACAGTTTTTCCACTGCTCAAAACAGTTTTTGAACTTGTCGATTTTTGTGCTTTTAGTGTTTCTGCTATTTTTCATTTCACCTCTTCCACATCAGCAAAATATTCTCCTTTGAAGATTTTTTTTATCCAGGGAAACAATACCAAAAAAAGTCACTCAAAGTGAGATCCAGTGACTAGGAAGGGTGGAACATAGGGTTCGTGCTGTTTTTGGTCAAAAACTGCTGAACACTCAGCGTGGTGCAGGCAGGTGGCTTGTAAATTGCCCGTCATGAAATGGGCAAACACATTGAAAGTCTTCAAAAAAATTAAGGGAAGCGAAACACAGCCTCTCACCACAATGCCAGCTGGTCCACTGATACAGATGGGTTCCCAGAACTCTGAGCTGTACCACAAGGGGCCCACCCTCCAGAAAATAATTTCAGTTTTTTGATGCCCACCCCCCGTAGACAGAGAGGCGGGGCGGAGGGAGAGATTTTAAGGAACTGGCTCCTGTGATTGTGAGGGCTGGCAGGTCTGAACACACCAGCGGAAAACTCGGGGGAGAACTGGCACTGCAGTTTTGAGTCTGAAGACAGTCTGAAGGCAAAATTCCTTCTTTCCTGGAAGACCTCGGGCTTTCCTCTTAAGGCCTTCGGCTGATTGGATGAGGTCCACTCACATTATGCAGCATAATCTGCTTTAGTCAAAGTCTACTGACTTAAATGTTAATCTCACTTAAAAAAATACCTTCACAGAAATATGTAGCCTAGTGTTTGACCAGACAAGCGGGCACCATAGCCTGGCGAAGCTGACACAGAAAATTAACCATCCCTGCAGGACAGAGGTTGTGAAATCTTTAGTGCCAGATCCCCAGCATGTGGGGCCTCTTGACCAGCTCCCTTTCTTGTTCCTCAAACCCCCAGTGACACCAGTGGACACTGCAATGACAGTGATGCTGTCATTACAGCATGTAATGAAGGCGGACTTAACTGTGGTGGCCACCTGTCACCTGACTGACATTGGTTTGTGACTCTCTGTCGAGAGTTTCCATGAGCTTTCACAAGGGGACATCTGATGTCAACACCAAGATTGCTCTAGGCCAAGGGCATAGCAGCGAGTGCCAGCCTTTCTCTTTGCTTCTGACTCCCCCCTGCCAAAGCACACCCAACTCTGAAAATTGGAATTACATTTTGCTGATTATATGACCAGTTGGGAAATATGAAAAATACAGGAAATGTTTGTCAACGACTCTGGGCATCTCAAAACATCACCCCGGCTGGAGGGGGAGGAGCTTTTACTAAAAGAGCCCTTCACGGCCTCTAAGCCCAACCTGATTTTCCCCTGGGCTGGGTGTATAGAAGAGAATTTGCTTCCTAGAAAAAAATAATTCTTTCACACCATGTTCTTTGTGTTCTATGAGAGATAAGATTACACTTCCACTAACATGCTCCTTCTGTCTTTAGTCCTAATTTTACATTCACAATTGATGAATATATAGCCCGCAGTGGTGTTATCTCAGTGACAAGAGGGAATTCAGTTCTACATCTATAGAAATCCTTCCTCTCCATAATAATATTAAATATTCAGACAGTACTTTTCTGGGCTGGATTCCTTTACCACATTTTAAAATGTAATCATAAACTTTGTGAATCACAGGCACTAATATCCAACTGCAACTTTTTGTTTTGCTTTGTCACGGTCCTTGGGAAGCTCTTTCTAAACGTTCAGTCAGAGAATGCGTCCCACTTGTGAGGTTACAAGCCACATTTTTGGCATGTGTTTATTTCACAAGACATCACTAAACTCCATGATTACCAGTTACTCTCAACTGTTAATGAGAAAAGAGTTTCAAAAGTATAGTTACTTAAACCATGAAAGCATTGGTTTATTTCCATTCTTGACGCAGACTTTGAAAGATTCCATGAACCAGATCCTATCATAATAGGGTATCATAGGAAGTATGAGAATGATATATAATGAAGGTGACTCAGTTTCCAATAGTCAATGTCAATTCAGGAAATGAAACCAGTAAATTCATTCACAGGGGGTGAAAACACAGGTTGAGAATATGCCCCTCTACAGCTTGGCCTGCTATCCACACTTTCACATTCTAGACTCATCGGCTACGTTCACCTACTCTATCTCGCATCTGCCCCTTCTCAGGTTCATCCCTCAGATGAATCCAGCCCATTCCCCTTTTTGGACCCATCAAAGTCCTATCTGCTAGGTACTCACTACTCAAATCCCATAAGCCTCCTCAGAGCAAATCACTTAGAATTAATTATTCTCCTCTGTCGTTCAAATACATTGTCTTTACCAGATTAGAGCCTTTATCACATTTCGAATTGGGGTTACTTATGTGTCTCTCACAATTTGTGAGCTCTGACTCAAAAATTTACTGTATGTCCTTTTTCTTTCTCTCCCAGCACCTAACACACCGTCTGCCCAAATGTTTAAAATGGAGTGGGATGGAAAGGAATGAAAGCAACTGCCATGAAGGGCAGGTTCACAGGCTCAAGTTAAGCTGTAAATACAGGTCTTAGGAAGGCCCAGTGATTCTGTAATGCAGCACAAGGTCTTTAGGACACAGAAACTCAAAGACAGAAGAAAATGTCCTTAAAGAAAGGACATTTCTCTACACAGAGAAGTAGAGGAGGATGCAGGTGGCGGGGGTCAGGTAAAGAGACACTTTAGCGAGGACCAGGGTATACTCACTATCCTAGAATTGCCTCTCATTTCCTGTACTTGCAAGAAGATTCTCCCAATTCTATAAATAGAGCTTCCCTAGCCAAGTGCGGTGGTAAACTATGACTATTTCTGAGCACATGCTATAGTAAATAATAATTCATGTTTAAGACTCTTCCATACACATTACCACACTCTGCTTTTGTGTACCCTGTAAGGTAGCATGGTAGGGATTTTTTTTCTTTCTATTTTATAGATAAAGAGAGAGAATGTCAGACATTAAGTACTTTCACTAAGGTCACACAGGCAGTTTATGGCAGAGCTGGAACTGTACCTCAGGTCTTTTTGATTCCTGTTTCAGGAGTGGAGGTACGAACTACACTCCCACTTTAGTAGGAGTAAGGATTCCAAACCTTGAACACTGCTTACTATTTCTCCTGTAAACACTGTGGAGTTGGGAAGGGCAGTGAGAAGCCAGGTGTGGAAGCAGGGAATGCTCAGGCGAAGCAAGGAGTGGGGCAGGTGGGGAGACTGAGCCCCGAGCGTTGCCTTTATCATGTCAGGAAGTTTTGACTTCTGTTGAGCCTTTTCCTCTAGAAGCAGAAACTTTGTCTCTTAAGACAAAGCCTCCAAAGTAATTACAAGTACCCACATGGAACGAAAGGACTCTCTGCTGGTGTGCAGTCATCAGAGAACTCCTGGGAACCCATCAGGAGCCACTGCTCCAGCCAGGGCAGAGAAGGGGCTGAGCGTTTCTTGGAAAAAAAAAGTCGGGGTTCTTTGAGTTCTCAAAACATGCGATCTTGAGACATTTGATCCTGAGGTACAGTGCAAGTACCTCCTTGACTTGAACATCCTTGACTAAAGTCCTGGATGTTCAGCCACAGGCAGCAGCCACTTTTCATGGACAAGACTTGCTGACAAGTTCACCTAATTCAGTGTTGTAACATTTTATGGGAATTATCCGAATACTATGGCCACACAGTCCTGATAGGTTGGGTAAGAAAGATGCTCCAAAATGCAAGGCAAGGTTGGTCATAAAATCTTTTTTGACTCTCTAGTATTTGTTACAAAAAAGGGAAGGAGACATATATATTAAGCCAACATGTAACACATGTAAATTATACATCTGATAACAAGAGGGGAAATGCATGCTGTTCCTACATAAGATTTTATAGTGCTGAGTAGGTCCTCCACGTGAGTAGCTGTAGGAAAGTAGAAGACCAGAGATAAACTGAAAGAAGAATCCCAGAGATCCCTAAGGCTGAGAAGGAAAAGAGGAAAGCAAACCAAAATGATGGAAAGAGATGACTAAAAACTGAGAGAGACAGAAAAAGATTAAGGCTCTGCAAATATGAATATCTGCTCATCATAAAAAGATTTTGACTTTTTAACCTAGGTTTCAATAATAACATTTCATAAATTTACTTTAAACATTATCCCATTTTGCTTTGGTAGATTTAAAGTACACAAAAAGAACTTAGCTTTTTTAATCAAAAATATTAAAATATATAATTTATGGAGGTGGTGGGACTGTGAACAATTTTTAAGTTTATATAAGTTTAATATTGTTTGGAACATGTATGTGTGAATACATACAAGATCTGCCCAGAAAAAGTCCAGCCATTGCTAATACAACAAGAACAGTTTGCACAACATCAATGTAACCTGGTAGCCAAGTAGAATAGACTGGAATTCGCATGCATGAACAATGGTGACTTTACTGTACTAATCAGTGGGGGGTGGAAGACGCTGTGGAGTGAGTGAGCATGTGTACTGTGTGGCTGTCATAGTCAAAATGACTGAGCAAGCACAGCAAGGAATCTACATCCGATTTTGCGTTAAGCTTGGACATTCCTCCCTGGAAACTATTCAGATGCTTCAGAAGGCCACGGCTGTAGACAAGATGAAGATGGTAATGGCAGCTTTATCACAACAACATTCCTGCTCATGCATCACATCTCATGCAGAGTATTTTGGTGAAACATCACATCACCACAATGACTCAG